GAAATAAACACATCAGACAGTTTTTACAAAAAAAAGTTATATTAGAAAAATATGCAAAGGCAGAGGACCTTTGGCAGCATAAAAATTTGTGTAGGAAAGAATAATAAGAGAAAAACACAGCAAATAATCTGGATAATAAAAGATACGAAATTCCAAAAAAAAAAAAAAGAAAAGAAAACAACACAAATCACATAGTCAATAGCATTTGTTAGTTTTTTAAGAAAAGACGCTATGCTTCTTGTGGAAATACGAAAAAGCAAAAAGAAGAAAGAATGAAAATTCAGCTCTAATCTCAATGATCAGAGAGAATTTTGTGTGTGTGTTTTCTATACCAGTGTCTCATCAATAGTTATAATATGTTATTAAATATTAGACTAGAGTATCATCAAAAATTACATTTGTTATAATAATTATTAGGGAAAAGGTACGACTTTTTAATCATCTAGATCTTGGCAATTTCTTCCAGGTTGTCTTGTTACTTGCTTATTTGGAGGAATTAGGTATAAACAAACAACAACCAGTCATTAAAGAAAAACAGTTTTCTAGAAGTCAATTTAAAAATGCAAGAACTCTGATACTATCCTCAATTAAGTGTGTGTTTGCTCCATCACCATAATTTCTTAAATTCCTGACGTTTGGGGAGCAGCGTTCTCGTGCTATGAAGGACAACGCTGCCTGTTACTCCAAGCTATGAGAGTGTTTCTGTTGTATCACATGAATAGTGTGGATCCAGCTTTCTGCTGCAGCTGCTACTAAGACCCAGTCGCTTTCTCAAATAGTAATGTCATTTGTTACAAGACTGTTCTAATGTGGGGGGAAAAAAGCCCTTGAATTGATTCCTTTGTATTTAATTCTTTGAAACCCAGAGGCATGGGTTATAGGTTGTGCTCTGTGGGAAGCTAATCCTGGGACAAATACGAGCATTGAGGAGGTTTATTAGGGAGTGCTCCCGGGATAAACACCTGTGGATGGGAGTGGGACGGAAGAAGGATGGGCTAGAGGGAGAAGGTGGGCTGTGTTGTACGATCAGGAGAGGTCTCAGCTGACTTCAGGGGCAGCTCTGGAGCTGGGGTGGCTCTGCAGCATTGGCCTGACTTGGAGAGAGGGGGGCCGGCCTTTACACACTGGTGTTGACAAACTATTGGCTGAGGCCACCCCCGGAAGGGTGAAGCAGCTCTCCGCAGCATCTTTTCCCAAAGGGGGCCTAATGGGCAAAGGTTGCTTTCTGGCTGCCGTCCCAGTAGTTGGGAGGATAAGCCCTTCATTCCTGAAGGGGTGGTACAGCAAGGCATCCACCTTTTCATGGGTCAAGCTGCGATGAGAAACTTGGCCAATTTGATGTTCTGCTCTTAGTCTGAAAAGTCAGTGTCATGATGTTTTTGAGGCAGTGTGGAATTTTAAGTCTGCTTTAATGAAACCATTTGGTTTAGAAATTTCATTCAGTCATCCCATGAATATCAAGACCTGCAAGCCCCGTATGTGCAAGGCAGGTATGTGTAAATTAGACACAAAAATGAATTCAAGACATGGGGAGCTCAGAGACTCTCTGGGGAATGAAAGAACGTGAATTACAAGGTGAAATGGCAGCAGTATTGGTGATGATGTAGCAGTTCCTGGTCCTAAGAAATCACAATTCACCCAACCCCAGTTCCCATTTTATTCCTCAATCGGCTGTCCCTTTAAAGCATATTAATAAATGGTATAAATCATGGCTCAATTTCTGCTGCAGGGAAGCCTAGAGTCACAAACGGAATGTAGATGCATGGCAGGACTTACAGATCCATGGCTTCCTGGCTAAGATTTATCATTTCCAACACACATTTAGTTATCAGAAGTCCCCTGTGCCAGGTAATGCAGCTCTCAACACTGTGATCTATAACCTTCTTCTGGATGTCACTCTTTTCTTCCCCTGATGATTGTATATATTTTACCAGCATATTATAATACATGGCAGATATTACTCAGGGGCCCCATTGAATAAAAATACTATATTAAAAATGTACTTTGACTCACAAATGGAATGCAGCTTCAGCTCTTTTCCACCTGTAAGTCAAAAATGAGGTCTCTGTACAATTAAAAAGCCAAAGTGGGAATTTATATTGGCACCTGGAGGGCTGTGGACCAAGTTCAAGATGATGAAAGGGTATATGTAGAATTCAAATAAGGGCAAAAGAGATCTCATCTGGAACATGTAAAATGCCAAAATTACTGCTTCAGTGTGACGTATATACAAGGCATACAGAACTACATGAGATTTTATAGTTTTTAGGAAACACTGGACATCAAACATAGTTTTCCCCAATAAGGCAATTCTGTACCAATGGTTTCACTGACTCACCCATTTACTTACTCATGTATTCATTTTTCCATTCAATATAGGGCTGCTGTGTTGTGCGTGTCCAGGGAGCACCACCGACATCATCATCTATGTGGACAGTGCTCTTGGGGCTGGGCAGTACATAATCCACACAACCATATTTGGTGGGACTGATTCAACAACATATACTGGGTGAGTATGTGCCATGCACTATGTTTGGCACTGAGAATAGAGCAGTGAACGAGATAGACTAGGGTAAGTTTATTTATGGATGTAAAAACCAGGCAAAAATGGGAGATGGAGGAAGGGCCATACTTTACAGAATTTTGAAGGATATGTTGCGAATTTTAGTCTTCATTCTAGGAAAAGTTGTAAGATATTAAATTTCCTGTTCAGGAGAATGACTTGTAGCAAGGTCATGTTTCTGCATTACGGAGAAGACAGTTGATGTGGACAAGTACATATGTGGTTGACAATATGGGGACTCTTTAGGTAGCACAAGTGAGAGATGATGGTGGCTTGTCTAGGGCAATGCCAAAAAGGATGGAAGAAGTAGATTGATAAAAGTTTTCAAATGAAATGTCTTATCTCCATTCTGCTATTTTTTGGCCAGTACCACTGAGTTATTTTGACCTTTGAGTGCTCTCAGACAATATTAAAAGTCAACTGTTGTGTGTGACTCTGTGAAAAGCAGAATTGTTAACATCAAAGACCACTGCCATCAAGTGTTGGGCTTGCCTGTTAATACGTCATATAGCCAATGAAACAGTCATTGCCCTTTTATTCATCAGCCTATTCGACAACATAAAATTTAATCTCTCTTTTCTCTTCCATAACATGTAGCACCTACTTGTTTGGGATTGTGGTGAAGATGCAAAGAGATAATACCTAAAGCACTTAGCACAATGTCTGCTCTATTGTAATTGTTGTTGGCTACTTTTTACTTCTGCTATATTAATACTTATGTTGGAGGTTTGGGATGAGAATTACTTAGTCTTTTTTTCTCTAAATTGGTCACCAAAATTTGAGAAAATAGGTGCAGGAGTAAAACAAGAGAGATGAAAATATTAGCTTTATTACCCATATTGTCGAATTCAAGAATGCAATTGACTTTTTGGCTAAATCTAGCGATTGGTACCAAGGAAATCTGCAATCTGCCCATTGACATTGCTCATGTGCCTCCATCAGGGACACAGAGGGTTTGAGCAAGGCCTGGACCCTGCCCTGACTCAGGGATGCTTACACTGTGGAAGAAGTAAGCAGAACACTCTCACTCCTCTGGTGAACCAGAGAGCAGAGAAACCAAGAGCACAGATTCTGGAGTTAGATTGCCTGAGTAAACCTGGCTGTACTATTCATCAGCCAGCCAGCAGTGTGAGTCTCTCAGAGTTTCTGTGACTCAGTTTCCTCATCTAGAAGAGGGAATGATAAAGTACTACCTCATAGGACTATTGGAAGGATTCAATAAATGAAATGTTGGTGTCTGGAGCATAGAAACCCTAATCTCTATTTGTCATGCCCAGAATCTAAATAAAGAATACAGAAAACATCACACCATGTGTTTCTCCAACCCCATCTACCAGAGAGGTCACTGTTTTTCCCAAGGGGAAAAGCAAAGGAGGAGAAAATATTTCTGGAAGAGAAGGGAATGCATATTTCCTATGCACTGGCTTCCTGGACCGCGAAGTATAAAGCCCTTCCTCTATGCTGAGCATCAGGACAATAAAGGTTGACCTCCCAGATATTCTATCACTTGATATAGTTGGCCTGGAATCTGTCCTGTCCCTGCAACTTCCTCTCTCCACCTGAAAAGAAGTGGGATTTGTCACACTCATCAGTCTATCCTTCCCATAACATAGGGTGATGTACTGTGTTTTGTACGTACTGTGCTAATGACAACTTGTGCCTGATGGATTTGAACGTAAGCATCTTTCTCTGAGCTATCTTGTTCCTAAGCAACAAAATCGTGAAGGGTGGCTGCCTGGTGGCAAAACCCAGGGCCTGAGCAGAAAGTGTGAGGTTCCCACTAGTCTGCTCTCTTTCTTCAGAACCATCTAGCCTTCTGGCTCCTGATTTTCAGGACCACACAGAAACTGTCAGATGCCTAAAGCTAACAAAAATGTTCTTATCACAAGGCAAATGCTTTCCACATCCACCTTCCTCACCCCCATTTTTTAGTCCTAATCTAGAATGGTTGAACTTCTCCATCCAAAGCAGAAACAAAGAACTGAGAAAAAGTTTGTTATCAGATGAACACCTTGCCTATTTGTTCCCTTCATTTGTACATACACTCAGTTAAGTTTAGCTAAATGTCCAACACAGAGGAAGGACTAAGTCAAATATGGGATAGTTTCCTTTATTGCAATAGTTACTCTCAAATTATTTGTTTGCTCTTGATTATTTGCCTCCCTCAATTACAGTGTCTGTTCAGTGGGACCCTGTCTACTTTGTCTCTTGGACCTCATAGTCTTATAGCGGAGTTTGTTAAACTGTGGCCAGCTGGCCAAATCTGACCTACCACCTCTTTTGTAAATAAAGTTTTATTGGAACACCTTCAGACCTATTGTTTACATACTGTCTGTGGCTGCTTTTGCCCTACCAGGCTGACCTGAGCAGTTGCAACAGAGACTGGGTGGCCCTTAAAACCTAAATTTTTTACTGTGTGGCTCATTACAGAAAATGTTTGTTGATCTCTAGTCTAAACCACTAACTGACATATATTAAGTGCTTAACAAACACTTGTAGAATGAATGAGTAGTAATACTCACTAAAGGTATACCTGTGTGGCTAAACAGTGGAAGAAAATGCAGATAAATAACAATAGTGTGTTAAACGGATAGGACTATGCTTAAAACATTTTTTTTCTTTCTAAATACTGTAATTAAGAAGGTCATTAACAATTTTTTTGTTATAGCATCAGCTTTTTTTTTTAACTGAAGTACAGTTGATTTACAATGTTGTGTTAAGAATGTCATTTTTTAAAAAGCAGAAGCAAAATTTTAAAAAGAGTACCACTACCTTGGTAGATTGTTGGGAATATTGAGGTCTTGCAACTTCAATAATTGCAGAAATCTAGATTACTGAGCTGTTCGCTCATGTTTTCATTTTTAGTTCAAAAGCCAAGCACCCTCATTACTAATTATAGTTTTAATTGTGAGTTAACAGTGGGGAAAGCCAGACCATGGGGATTACTTGAGAAGCTATTCCACAGCAGACTATGCGGGATTTTCAAACACAAATGGAACAGAAACAGATCTGACTTGAGAAGTAATGTAAATAATATTTACCAAGCTGGTCATTCATCAAAATTAAATTGATCCAAGGTCCCATGAGGCTTGGCTATCTTACTCTTGACTCCAGACATAACATTTACCTGATAACTCACAGAGCTCCCAGACCAGCTCCGTCCTCCTGAGCTTGACACTTCTTACTTTGGCCCTTGAAAAGGAGCCTTCTTTGTTTAAACCTCGATCTGTTAACCAAGAAAAAAAAGCAATGAGCCTTTACATTTTTAAAAGATTGACAAAAGAAAATAGGAGAAGAGACATTTTATTTGTTTCACACAAGAACGAAAATTGGTCTCGCTCACTGGCTCCATCCATCTCCAGGTTCCTGTGACTCTTGCTTTCTGGCTCTTTGATAACTATTTGCTCATTTGCTTAACGCTCCTTTAGGGGCCTTTCCAACCAGTAGTAGCACGAGCCAAAAGAGGAAAAGCAATCTATTCACCAAAAGGTTGCATTTTTCAAAAAGACATTTTGCATACTTCATTTCACAAAGAAACAACGGTTGAAAGAGCTCTGGGACATTAATTTTTCATAGGCAAAATATTCATCTTTAATGCACATGGCTATAGGTTCAAAAAGTAATGTTAAGCTTGTGTATATTGGCTGGAGGAATGCTATTCAAGACTTCCTCTTAGTTCCCTGCTGCAGAAGAGTTTTACCCCATGGTGTTCAAGGTTTCCCTTTGCATTTCAAAGCCCTGAAATCAAATACAATCAAGGATGCATGTTGGATTTGGATGGGGAGAGGGCATGTATTTATGTAAATTTGCAGGCATTTACATCCTTAATGAACACTGGTGTCATTTTTTTCTAAAGTAACTCAACAAGAGGGTGCAAATGATTTGACTCTCTTTTGTCTAAAGTTAGTAAAAGACCACAGTGGCCTGGCCACCTGAATGACCTCATTAAACATGGCTGTCCCAACCCACCTAGAGCTCCCATTTGTAATTAATCATGAAAATAGCAAGATTACGCAGAATTCAATTATGATGAAGGCTCAACTTGTCTCTTTGGAAGAGAAAATCGAAGTAATTCTGAAGCTCAGGATGATACAGCTCTTTGTAAAGGTTCACTTCAGAATTGACCTTTCTTGAGTGGAGAGGTGAAATGTCTTAGACTGAACAAGACAAGGCAGCAGCCCCAGTAAAATAGCACTGTCGTATATAAACACACAGAGAACAGAGAGACAAAGTAGGCCAGAATGCCAGAGACACTCAAAAAGTCATGCAAACAGAAACGGAGGAGGGATGCTACTTGTGAATCTGCTTCATAAGGGACGTATTTTCTTAGGCCAATAACATATCTTTCTACACAATTTCAAATGTAGGATATCACTTAAGCCTCTTTTTGCTCCATATCTTAAGCTACAGGAAGTCCAGCAGCCATGTATTCTGCTTTTATTAGGTTGAGTATATCCAGATGATTTTAATAAAGTTTTAAAAGGACATTAGTTTCCTGCTATTTCAATGAAAACCACTTGCGAGATGAATTTAAAGCAATAGATCTATTTCATGTCAACACTGGCTTTCTTTATGCAAATACACAGCCTTTTATAACAGCCAACAAAACAACCCACAGACACCCTCATCAACTGTGTGCAACATGGAAGAAAAATGTCATCGTTGTAAATGTTTAAGGAGGAAGAAATGGAGAGGATGATGGGTGCCAGGGTAGGCTGCCCAGATTCCGCATCAGGACTGAGGGTCTTATTACTTCCACTGCTGAAAGCTTAGCCTCTACTGGAGTCCCTCCTGGGAACTGTCAGCCAAATAATGTCTTGTTCTAGGTCATGCCTGTTCTCTGGAGACAGCTCACCATCCAATGACGGGTCACTATGTATATGTAGATGGGAGGGTGGGGAGAGATGCATAAATACTTGGTCCCCTGACATCAGGCGACCTGAGGG